ATTTTAACAACTATATAATTTGATATCTCTGCCTGCTTACTTCACAGGATTTTTCACATTTCCACAGCCCTGGTAAAGCCATTCAGCATTGTTCCAGGTAGGGACAATTTAACTAATGTAAAAGATTGTTTCAGAACATCTACTATGTCTTAGTAAGATTTAAGATGTCTGCAGGAAGACAGAATATCTCAGAGATGAGTTAAAGCTCAGAAAATAAGTCAGTCCTGGATGGTATCTTCTTGTGACAGCCGTTAAGAGCCTACAAGCTCAAAATCACAGAGAAAGGAAGGTTCAGCAAAAATGATTCGCTTACCAAAATGGCCCATAAAGTCCACTTTAATGAATGATGACTGCGGACAGAAGTAAAGACTTCAAAATGTCTAAAATAAATGTATAATCATCATTGTGATCCATATGATACTACTTGCTGAGACTCAGATAGTCCTGGTTTTCTCACTCACCACTGTCCGGATACCCTCCGGTTTATGCACCAAATATTCCCCCTTCTGCAGAACTTAGTAGTGGTAGCTAGGGGGGTCCCCCCCCCACTAAGCCATCACATGAGCCAGCCTAGGACCTGATATCAACAAGGTATTAACTTCCTAAACAATTTCTCAATCTGCCGCCCACAAACAGAAGAAGAACACAGCTCCAAGTCGCAACCAACTCATGAAGACCCCATCCACAGGGCATTCTAGGCAAGAGATGGTTTGCCATTGCCTACCTCCATGTCTTCCTTGGTGGTCTCTCAACCAAGTACTAACCATGGCCACCCCAACTTAGCTTCTAAGTTAGAGGTGTCAAACATGCAGCCCAGGGGGCGGATCAGGCCCCCGGAGGGCTTCTGTCAGGCCCGCAGTGGAGCTGGCTGTCTTCTACTTCTTCTTCCAGTTCTGCTGCTGCTGCGTCATCGTAGGTTTGCAGCTTACAGATACACACCTGAACAGCATACTCAAGATTGCAACAGCACAGACATTTTGATGTAATAATTCAGAGCAAGAGGTGTCAGTTATCAGACACTGTTAAATAAACAAAATATTGCAAGAGTGCTAATGTTTTAAGCACGTTTTTATTTTAAGTAAAAAAAAAACACCTTTGGTTTGTGTCCTTTATAAAGTTTATATCTCCGCTACCTGGCATTATATTTTATGACACACATGGCCCAGCCCAACAAGGTCTTATTTATGTCAGATCCGGCCCTTGTAACAAATGAGTTCGACCCCCCTGTTTTAAGTAGCAAACTCTGGCTAAACTGGGCTGTTAAGGCTGCTTCAGAGGTTTGACCCCAAAAAGAGTATATATGGTAATTTGAAAGGGGGGGGGGACGATCTAACCTATTTCCACTGTTTTTCCCCTCCCCTGTTGATCTTCTTCATGATAACTATGAATAAGAACAACAGGGCCTACTGATCTACCTGAGGCAGAATTTTTTCAAGGTACTGGAGATCCTATCGTACTACAGTCCAAACTACCTTTGAGTTTACTGCCAGTCACTATCAATCTCTCCTGAATTTATAGTGAACATGGACCATTTCTCTGCTCATATTGAATTTTCACAAGGTTTGGTCTGAGGAGATTTAACATAGACTTTTAGCAAATATGACTTAGGGAGCAACGTAACCTTGCCCAAGGCAGTCTGTGAGCATGTTGGCTCTGAGGTACAGTTAATCTGCAATTGTACACACTGAGGGCCTACAAAGATTTGACAGGGAGAAAGAACAAACAATTGGGAAATTACCCCCCTCCTGATCCATATCCCCCCCCCACTCCAGATACTATGATCTCTCAGGGGGTGAAGCCAGCCAATTAAACCATCTCCCCAGTCTTTTTTTAAAAGTCTGCTCTCGACAGAGACCCAGTGTGGTGTAGTGGTTAAGAGCAGTGGACTTTGATCTAAAGAACCATGACTGATTCCCCAATTCTCTACATGGAGCCAGCTGGGTGACCTTGGGCCAGTCACGGTTCTCTCAGAACTCTCTCAGTCTCACCTCCCTCACAAGGCACCTGTTGTGGGGAGGGGAAGGGAAAGGTGATTGTAAACTGCTTTGAGACTCCTTAAGGTAGAGAAAAGCGGGGTATAAAAAACTTCTTCTTTAATACTCCAAGGTTACGTTAAGCTGGCCTTAAGTCATTTATGCGGGGGAGGGTCTTCTTTTTAAATTTATATACCATGAGAGTCCTCTGAATACGCAGAAAACCTGACTGCTTGCGTGGGCAACCCTCTTTCATTGCTTTTTGGTGAAACACACTGAACCTTGAAGTTTGCAAGTACAAGAGGCCTCAAGTTCCCAGCCTGAGGCCATAAGAGAATTAAGTACTGCACTGTTTCCAAATGCATAATGACCACTCAAATTCAAGTTTCAAAGCAGTATATTTTCAAACTAACACTGCAGTCACTTGCAACCTTGACATTATGGGGATATGCTGCAGAAAACACCTTCTCGTAAATGTTTAGACATGTGGTGCCAGTGCACTTTCGGGGCTCAACCAGATGTTACATATGACAGAAGTCTTGCTGAGACCCACAAACCCAACTCTTGTCACACTTGTTACATGAAAACATCTAGCTGAACCCCAGTGTCCCTTATCCATTTAACTGACTGCCTGTTCAAAGGTACAAAGAAAAGTACAAAGAAACAAAGAAACTGACAATACAAGAACTCGTGGGCACTCAATGAAATTGCTGAGCAGTCGGGTTAGAACAGATAAAAGGAAGTACTTCTTCACCCAAAGAGTGATTAACACATGGAATTCACTGCCACAGGAGGTGGTGGCGGCTACAAGCATGGGTGGCTTCAGGAGGGAATTGGATCAACATATGGAGCAGAGGTCCATCAGTGGCTATTAGCCACAAGGTATAGCTAGGAACTCTCAGTCTGGGGCAAGGGATGCTCTGTATTCTTGGTGTTTGGGGGGGGCAACAGTGGGAGGGCTTCTAGTGTCCTGGCCCCACTGCTGGACCTCCTGATGGCACCTGGTATTTCTGACCACTGTGTGACAGAGTGTTGGACTGGACGGGCCATTGGCCTGATCCAACATTGGCTTCTCTTATGTTCTTACGTTCTTATGACATCACAATGAAAATGCATTATACACATTTTCTATACAAATAAATACCACCTCAAGCAGGTCTCTGGTGAGGCAGCATATACATTTTCTAATAAATAACTATGCAAATAAATAAATACTCTTTAAATAAATGTTAGTGGGAACATACAGGGCAAGAGATCCTAATGCCGGCAGCCACTTTTCCTAGCAAACTTCCACCCCCTACCCCAGTATAATATCATTACTTTATGCAAATTGGGTAGCGTTTACTGCCAAAATGAATAAGAAATAGTAATGCAAATTATGAAAACAATGACAACCGCTTGCAAAACAAAAATCAAAACGGCTTCATTAGACTTTGGATTATAAGCAGCCCACTCTATTATGTATCACAGAACAGGGCCCTTCAAACTCCCTACTCAATGCAGGAAATCCAAACAACATAACACAAAAGATGACAGCTGAAACTCTTGAAACCCCACCATCCCATTATGTTTTATAGAATCTTAATAACAGAAGGACCCTCAGAGTTTATTTATTTATTCATGTGACTTTCAGCCCACCCTCCCCCACAAGCAGGCTCAGGGTGGGCACTCCATGAAATTGCTGAGCGGTCGGGTTAGAACAGATAAAAGGAAGTACTTCTTCACCCAAAGAGTGATTAACACATGGAATTCACTGCCACAGGAGGTG